AGATAAGATCAATAAGATTTTATTGATTTAGATGATATACCTTTTATTTTCTCATAATTACAGCATGGTTGTAAACTTCAGGCTCAAGCAGAACACAGGCATGGATTATATCAGGCTATTATATTGTGATTATTTTATAATTGTGATATAATTGCCCTATATAATCTGGTAGTTGTTGGCATATTACATATGTACATCAAGTTTGTAAATGTTGGTTTATGTAAAAATAATTTATAAAAACCAATCACAGAATGTATGTTTAAATGTAGAATATATATACACATATACCTTAATTTTTATTGAAATAGAACAATATTTACAAATAAGGCTACTGACTACTGATCACAACAGACCAAATGTTTTATTAAAAAAAAAAATAAATAGAAAAAGAACAAACTATAAAGTTATGGTTTTGAACCAAATTTGATTATATAATGATCCATGACTTTTCAATATTTATCTACTACAAAGGTTGATACAAACAATGATAAAAAGCTATAGCAAAATTTAGCATTGAAAAATAAATACAATATATAAAGATTTTTCATCATTTAAGCTTATCAAGATGTAACTGAATATTTTGTCGTATCTATTGTCTCCACTGGAATATAAAAAATGCAATTTAGTCAAAAAATTAAAAGATAATAATAATAAATTATTTCACTAGATATCTATACTAATATTATAAAGAGGTTAAGTTTGGAAGTTTGGATGTAGGAGGTAATCTCCAAACCTACTCATCCGATTTCAAAAATTCTTTCACCAATATTTAGAATGGACCTTCAGGGTGAACATAGGTTGTTTATTATTCTGTTAAACATTCATATAAATTAAAAGATATCATCTAGGTAAGCATTATACTTTTGGTATCCGTGGTCGGCAATATACGCAGTGCAAGTGTCCGAACTTGTATATTATATAGATGTCACAATTCCCAGGCCCACAAGGGAGAGGGACAAAAGACTTACCGTGAAGAACTCGGCTTCTATTATACTATTTTACATGCAATTTTTTGCGTTTTAATAGTATTTTTATGCAATAAATGTATATAGGCAAACTTCAGTGAACTGAACATCCAAAAAGTATTTTTAGGGAACAAACTTAAACAAATTTTACATAAATACTGTATTCCCTCAATTAAACCATAAGGGGAATTTATTGTTAAGATGCACATATCCCCTGAAGTTTACTTGAAGATCTAGGATATTACCTTCCAACAGGAGACGCGGGAAAAATTAAAAGAAATAACTTAATCTTTGGTGCATTTTCCAAACTATCAAAACATTTTATTGACTGTATCTATAGGTTACAGCTACAGCATTTGAAATAATTACTGTTTTCACAGTTAAACTAATTCAGTGTCTTCAGTCAGTTATATTGTGATTTGTCTCTACTTCAATGTTATTGTAGGAATCAAGATCTTGACTACCATATTCTGGTTCAATCTCACCATCAGTTTGAACTATAGGTTTCCTAATTACTGTTCAGCTGATAAGATCATGACTTTCCCACAGTCAATATTTATAATTTTATTTCAAAAAATGTTTGTGAACCTAGGAAATAGGAAGTGCTGTCCGATTCTAGACAATATAAAAGAGGTAAGGAGTTTGACTAAAATTCTACTATCACTCTAAACTACATTATACTATACTATACACAGCAGTACTTTTAATGGTTTCCCACACTTTTCAAGTTGGGGTTTATTTTTTAAGTACCTTTATTCCCAAGGCTTATTCAAATACCAGAATTTATTTGAATCCTGAAATTTAAAAATTTAATGTACACACAAAAAAAAAAAAAACACAATAAATAAAAATTTTAATAAAGGGGTAAAAAAGGTTAATACATGAAAAGTTTAGAACTGACCTAATAGATGATACATTGATTCTGAGAAAATTTAAACATAAGAATAATGATTTTACTTTATAACTAATTATTGTTTAACTAACATTTGTTATAGATGACAATATAAAACTTTTCTTCAATTAGTGTTTTCTCAATTCTAATGCACCATCAAATCTAATGCGAACCCAATTTTTGAGACACCACCATCCAATAAAAGTTAGCTTGCAAATGTAATACAAGCCTGTATCAAGCATGCAGTTTCAAAAAGTTAATGTATTTAAACAGTAATAAATGCATTTTTGAAAAGCATTTTGTTTTTGTTTTTACAATGCTTCATGATGTCCACATTTTCAAATGTATTCATTTATGACATAATTATCAGAGGATCTGCAGACCAATACAAAATAGCACATACAAACAAACAAATCAACATTTTAATAACAAGATTTCATATATGCACAAGCATGAAATTTACCAAATATATACAGATATTTCACTGTGATACTATGTATGATCTTCAACATAGTGGATCTTCAACACCCTGCTTAAACACAGCTTTATCCGCTGGACATTGTTCACTTGCTTGCTTTAGTTCAAAAAACTCCAAATCATTCCAAAACCAAACCCAAAATTAAAACCAATGTAATGGAAGGGACATGTACAGTACCATACACATATCAACAATATCAGTGGTCACCAACCAGCGGTCTTGTGGAGAAATTTGGACATTGATCAACTCAAGGTTATGTAAGTACAGGTATACCTCGCCTTACGTTGGTAATTGGTTCCAGGAGAGGTAACATAAGTCGAATTTACTTGTCACTAGGCTAAACCATAAATTACCATTCCCAGTTCTGTATTTTATTTATTAATGCATTTTTAATAATACATGGTTAATAAAAATCTATTTTAAGCTTACATACAAATAAATTTTAGTTTTTAATATAGTACAGAAAAAAGTATTCTAAATTTACGAATGCATGTACTGTAAATACAGTACATACTTGTAAATGTATATATTTTAATATGATTTTATGTGCTTTAAATGTTTTTCTAGTGATATTACGACTTCAATATTTGTGGCGGACAGACATAAAGTCAAATAAAATGACTTAAACTTGATTTTTATTTTTCCATATACTTTTTTGACAAACGACGTATAATTGGGAACGACATAACTCGAAATGACGTAAGTCGAGGTTTACCTGTATTACAAAAGAAATGCAAAATGCTTGGTTGCTTTTTCTCACTCATTGGTGGGTTTTTATTCAAACACACAACCAAACACAAAATGACTGTTATCAATGAATAATAATGTCAATAAATCAATAAATAATGTTGTGAGTGTGATTGTTGTCCTTTGTGGAAAAGAGCCAAGAATTCATAAACTTATTTCAAACAAGCAGCAACAAACTTCACACTAATTTGCTTTAATTAAACAACTGAATTTCATATTAAATTAATAAAGTAAAATGGAAATTTCGTGACCATTATTCTATAGATATTTGTATCTGTTAAAAAAATTTATAATAGTATCTGTGGGGAAAAAAGTACACATAATAATAGAGAAAACATAGTAAATCCCTTCACTATAGGAAGAGGGTCAGATGAGAACTTTCTACATTTTAAATTTATTTAAAAAAAATAAATATTGAATTCTTAACTAAATGTATATTTCTTATATTTAAATATCATGTACAAGCAATATAAATTATACAGTATTTTATTTCAAATTTACATCATTTTTCATAACAATTGTTGTTCATATATCATTAAATCAGTAAAAAGTTTGCTTAATGAGAAATCTACAAATCTAAAAAGAAATTAAGCCTAGACATATCATAATAGCCTAGATGTTTTCATATCATTTTTCTCTTTTAAAATATAGTACATCCTAGCTCTATCTGATACAGCAAACATCTGATTAGAATTGTAAATTGTGTCGATACCAACAAAAATTGAAAAAATTGCAGATTCAAATGCAATCCTTCATGAAATGCATATTTTTACTTAGCTTATTTTGCTCATTTAGAGATTTGCTCCAATATTTTTCTAAGTATTAACATTCACTCATGTTTATATAAGTTTTCAGATTCCAAATATATGTCGTGTGGACTTTTATTAAGTATAAAACCAGATGCATATTAGGCCCAAACAAGAAATTTAAATCTCTTCCTATGAAAGTACAAGGTATCATGGTTCTGATTATATTGAAGTGAGAGTTGAAAACATAAAGAACATTTTTAAAATGTTTAAATGTTTTTTATAGAAATTCATTGAACAAAAACTATTGTAATACGATAAACTGGATGTATAATAATATAATTGTTTCAAAAAAACAAAAAATCCTACAAAGCTTTTTTGTCAGGTTAATGGTTGGATTGCAATCAGCTAGTTATAAAAAATGCATGTAAATAATTTCAGATTCATGTCTGATTTTGGCTTCACTGTTAACACAATCTGAAACAAGTTTATCACCACACAGAATTGCAATCATAGAAAAATATTAAGACAATTACATACTTTATATACAATTTAAAATGTATTTTAATGAATATAATTCATAAAAACATTTTTATTATTATTCAAGATTCAAAAATAATTGAATTAATGACTAGTATATCGGTAAAATTCAATGCATATATTAAAGATATTTAGTTTCTTTTTTAAAAATTTTATATTAGTTTGACAAAATATAATGTAAATAATCAATTCAAAACTGTATTAATAAATAAATAATCTTGCTTAATGTTTAAAATTCTGATTCACTTCCTACATAAATGGCTTGTTATGGACTATTTGAATTATTAATTTAATTATAAATTATTAAATATATAAAAAAGATATAAAAAACAACTGATAAAGTTATGATTTCATGACAATGTTTAAGTAAAGTTTTCTTTCTCCAAATGAAAAATTTGCATCTATTAAATAGACTTAATAGATATAAATTAAAAATGTACAAAAATTAATTTGGAAATTAACATAATAACGAAGAAATTTGAAATTTTTATTTTAACTTCAATTTTGAAAAATGATTGATGCCTACTGTATACGCCCAACTAATGGACGGTGCTTTATTTACTTATTTTGCAACTTGCCAAACTCAAACATTGTTTCCAATTGCTAATTAATTAACAATACGTGCAGTTTACCATATATTTTGTCCATTATTATCATCTTTGGTACCATTCATCACTAATATTTCATCTTTCTTCTCACCGACAGGCGCCATCTTAAGCCGATTCCGGGATGACGTCACTACAAAATGTTTTGCAACGTCATCGAGTGAACTTTGATGAATCATGAATCATAGATATCTTGGTCAAAAATAATCGAAGCAAAACTAATATAACCGAAATAAAAACGTTATGCTATTTTATTATTTATTGTAGAAAAACAAAAATAATATACAAAATGTAGTAATATATTAAACGGCGCAGAAAATGTTTTATCCTATCGTTTATATCTGAATATTTATCTGATAGTGTTTTATTTGATAACTAAGTGTTAGATTCGACTATAAATTCAATATAAAACCATAAGTTAGAATGATCCACGCGGGCGCCCACGTGCCACATAGCCTTGGTAGATGATGGTTCACGTTATTATTGCAGTGGGTCTGCTTTAAGAGAACACGCTAAGGGTCGCTGCATCATGCTCACTTATCCGTAGTAATGAGATCACCCAGAGGGTTGTTAATTTAATGGTATTTAGTTCTCTCCCCTTTTTTAAGTTTTAGGAGCACTATGTAACTTATAACGCACTTGGAAACGTTAAAATTTATTAACGCATAATCTTACTGTAACTTACACAGTGGAGCATTCAGGATTTAATCTTCGGGGGAGCCGAGTTGAACGGATAAAAAAACTTTTTAATGAGAATTCAATAAAATTCCCATCTTATATGACTGCTATTTCGTTAGTAGTATAGAAATAGAAGACACGATACAATATAAATAAAAAAAGAAATATTAATTAAGAAAAGATTTTTGGAAAACTTTTTAGTGTTTCTTTACTTTTTTCTTTAGAGGGTGCCACGCCCCTTGGCCCCCTTTGGGTGCGCCACTAAACTTACATATTGGTTTCCATTCTTATATCATCAATTATATTGTTTTATTGAATAATCAGTAAATATAGTAATTTAAACTAGTTACATTACTTTCACTTTTTCTCAGAAATACAACAGGTGGTCTAACTGATTACTTAACAACTTCTGAATACTCCCATGGGACGTACAGTACAGTACAGTATAAAAACAGTTACAGTATCGCCTTAAAATGAAGTCATGTGACCTCCAAAATCCGCTGCTAATCTTCGGGACATTCCAATTTTAAACACGAGCAACAATTTGACTTCATCGACAATGTTCCAACTTCGAGTACGAAGTGCTTAGTTCTCATAATTCCATTCTCAACAAGATGGATTCCATTCAAATGTCGCACAAATTACCCACAATTCATTGGAAAGTAACGCAGAGTCGGTAATCTACCGACTTTGGTAGCGGTCAACAAATCTGTTGAGTACCGAGTGCATTTAGTCAGCGCCACTTCAACGTTGAAAAAAGGGTCGACTTTTAACGAACGTTAAGATCAACGTTGAAAATAACGAATAGTCTTCATTAAGTCCGACCCTTCTCGAGATATGACACGACACGACACCCCTATATCTCCCCACCCTTTAACCACCAAAATTTAATAGCATTAATGCTCCTTATACACAAGCTATCATGCCAGATTTCTAAACTGAGGGTCAAATTTGACACGATTACAATACTTTTCCATGTTATGTATACAGAATAACTGAGAAAGTAAAATGAATTAACTGCTCAACCTATATCAGTTTATTATGAAACCCTTTCAGGTGCAAATAAAGAAAGTTTGTTTATTTTTTAACTAATAGACTAATTCAATCTCTATTTCATCTGCAAGTTAAACTAATATAATAAATCCTATTAATTATAGTCACAGACTAACATTAATAAAATATTTAAAGTACTAGAAACATTTATGACTTGTTTCACTTTCATAAGAATACAATATTCACATTTACATATGTCAAAAATATTTTAATATTACATTAAGATTTACATTTAAAAACACTACAAATTTGAAGTTTATTTATCAAACATATTTTCATTCAAAAATTTTAATGAACATTAAATAACAAACATCTTTTAAATATAAAATTAGATGAAATTATAATCATCATCTTCAAATTCTGAATTCTCTTCAGAATTCTCAACATCTGTTGGTTCAAAATTAAGAACATCTTTTGGATCAAAAGTAATTTTTGTTTTTGGAATGTCTTCTTCTGATTCACTATCATCCAAATGATCGAAATTAAGTTTAATGTAAATTTTCTTTTGTTCAGTAGCAATCAAACGTGGCCATTTTAATCCTTTCTTTGCTTTGCTTAGTCTTATTTCAACATTCTGTCCATAAATTCTTGCTTTGCTCATGTTATCGTTGATTAAGGAAAATAGTTCTTCTTCAAATCTGTAACACTTTCCATTTACAATTGCAGAAAAGTAAATCTGTTTTTCTTTGATATCAATGTCAAAATCTTTAACTCCAATTACATGTATAGTAATAATAATTTCTTCCTTCTTTTGCCACCAAGTCACTTGAGGTGTTACAATGTTTTTATCAATCTGTAATATATTGCTGGATAATTTTGGAATATTTGATTTCTTATTAACTGATTGCTGATTTTGGTTTTCAGGAGATAAGGAAACAGTTTGTTTAATTTCATCATTTAAATCTTCCATTAAATTATTCAAATTGGTAGTTTCACAAAAATTGTCATCATTTAATTCTTTAGGATTAGTTTCTACAGTATTATCTTGCAGGAAGTATCCTTGCCTAGCAAATTCTTCTGTGAAATCAAAGTCTGAGTTCCAGAGCTTGATCAAATAATACTTTTCTCCAGAAACTGAAAATTCTTGTTTTAGTGCTTTTGCATATAATACTTTTTTATCATCATCACAATCAATAAAATCATTAAATTTATCAATTACTTTTTTATTCCAATTATCTTTAAATGGAATTCCTGTCAATGAACATTTAATAGCCTGAAAAGGTAACAAGAGACAATTTGATGGAATAACATACAAACCAGATTTTTTAACTGTAGAGTTAACACCGTAATCAACATAAAATAAATCCACACTATCTTCCTCCTCCTCCTTAATGCATGCACGACACAAGTTACCATCAACAAAAGGAGCAATACATAATGATTCTTTCTGAAAATGTTTAAGTCTTATTAACATATTATTATTTAACATTTTTTCACATTCATTGGAAATATCACAAATTTGTTTTTTAAAATTTAATTGCTGAATATAAAAAAAATTAGGATTATGAACTTGCCAAACAGACACTTCATAAATTTGATCTAATTCAAGAAATGCTTGAGGCACTGCATGAGAAATTTCAGCATTATTTTCTTCTTTCTCATTCGCCAATATATTATTAAATGAAGTTATCTCACCCTCACAAAGACTACGCAATTTTTTAAGATGATCAGGATTAGGTATAGCATAATGATCCTTAATCAGAGCAGTAGTAATTTTTGTTTCAATTATTTTTAAATTATTTTCAAGTGTAACATAGTGAACAAATGGGTCTAACCATATTGTATACCCTAAACATAAAACTAATTTTCCTTCCATTTCCTTACCACTAATTATATTGTGAACAAATGTATCTGCTTGAGTTGTCCATTCAAAACATTTATCTACAGGCTGGACATTACAAATATATATTTCAACAACTTGTGCTGGATAAGAAATTAATTCAGAGGGAATTTTTAATAATTTATGTGCATAGATTATTTCTTGCCCACCATCATCTAAATAGTGCACTTTTACATTTCTCGGTTCTCCAATATTATTGAAATTTACTATATCCAGAACACGAACACGATGAAATGTATTACCTTGTTTCTCTACAACATACATGTTTCCTACTTTGATGTTTTTATCTGACATGCAATTCTCTTTTACACTGTAATATTCTGTTAATTTTATACTTAAAACTAAATACGAATGTGAAGAACTAGATTCTCCAGTTGTATCTTTACATTCAATAATGCGTCCGTAATAGTGGATGGCATCAATTACATTTGTAATTAAAACTTTTACTCGGCTATTTACTGGCAAATTCATTATCTGATCATATTTCTTAACAATTTTATGACGGTTTTTACAGTTTTCTTGAAAGCAATGACCGAATGCTTTTAAGTAATAACAAAGTTCAATTTGACAGTCTTCTAATTCTTTTTTCCTTTCATCTTCCATTATTAAAAGTTTTTTTGGAATTGGTAAAGGAAGACGGTTCAAGAATTTTATTAAATTTTTAACTTGAATCTTGCAATTTTCAGTTACTAATATATGACAAACAGATGGAGAAATTGCTTTAGCCTGAACATCTTTCAAAGTTAGAAAATTATCTAACATATAACTGTAACGTTGCCCAAACTGAGTAAAAGAAATCTTGTCTAACTCACATTGAATAATACAATTTGCATCATTGATATCAACATCAAATATGCAGTCATCCGTGATAACAATTACAACAGTGCTATTACAGTTATAACTGTTCTTCCATTCTCTTATTATATTATCTTTATCATAATGTAATAATCTTGAATGAATGAATAATGTATAAATTGCTGAATTTTTAACTAACTGAACAATATTATGAGCACTGTCATAACTATTGGTACATATTACAACTCTCTTACCTGCACAACCAGAAAGAATTTGAATTATCAATGTAAAAACTTCAGTCTCCAAACAAACATGACAATATGTAGGAACTTGTGAATAAACTGCTCCTTCATGAAAAGCTGTTATAAAAACTAATGGTTCATGCATGCAAGTCTGCATAAATGAAGATATTGCCTCATTCCAATGCTCAGAACAAATAACTAGTTGCTTTAGATTATTAATACGATTTTGTTTATTGTCCTTGGCATATTTCACTATTATTTCTATAATTTCTGGACAAAATTTAGTTAATATAACATCACCATCTTCTATTATTAAATGACAACAACGCTGTAAGTTAATCATTTTACATTCTTCATCCTTCAGATGACGTAACAAACAGGGAGGAGTGGCAATTAAAATATCGCAGCCATTTACAAGAGATATCTTCTGTACTGTTTCACAACCACCTCCATACATTTCTAAAACTTTTATGTGATTGTATTTTTCCAATAAAAGTTGACAGTTATTATGAACATTTAGAACTTTTTTCCAATTAGAACATAATATTAAAGCAATTGGTCCTCCATTACTTGGAATATTTTCATATAATGTTGGTTGAAATAGAGAAGATAATAAAGGAAGTAAATAACCAAAAGTTTTTCCTGAATGTGCTGAAGCAATAGATACAAAATTCCGTCCTCGAAACATTGCAGGCCACATTACAGTCTGTATGGGAGATGGAGATGGAAAATGATGCTCATTTAGAACCTCAATAATAGGAATTGCAAAAGGAGCAGCACTGACATTTCTCATGGGTTTTGGAAATCCTTTTCCATGACATATACTACGTACAGATTGTTCTTTTTCCCAGATAAAGCTTTCCAGATCACTTGCATCTGTTTTCATACTAGAACTTCTTTGTAAATATTTTGAAAACAGAAATGTGTTAGCATCCTTATTTTGCATGGATAATGAATTATTCACCTGGTCAGAGATATTCTTAGGATTATTATGGAAAACACTTGAGTTTCTTATTTTGTTTTTTTCTGAATCTAAATTACAAGACAAATTTGATGTATTTTCAATATCACTTATTATTTCAGTCTTTTTTTCAACAAATGAACTATTCAATGATCTACATTTTGCATTTTCTTCTTCTGGAACAGATTCAATAGCATCTTCTTCAGATAAACTGAATTCCTTGTTTTTGTCAATTACTTCTGATAACATTCCTGATTTTTCTTGTGATATTTCATCCTTGACATTACTTTTCGCCACCATTTCAATTCTACTTTTAGGATTTAAAACAAATTGTTTAGAAATAGTATTTGAAGACATGTCCAATTGAGTAGTGTTACTTATTTTTGATATACCAGGTTTTGATTCAAATATTGTTGACTCAAATTTACTATCTAATTCTTTAGTTTTATCACATTTATTTTCTAATTTTATCCTATTAAGGATGCCTCTAACATTTAAAGATGAAATTGGAGGATTTTTGTAATTAAGTTTTGATTCCAAATTTTGGATGTTACCATCTGAAGCTGAACTGTGTGTCAAGCTATCAGAATTGCCCAATTTAATTTTGCTAATACGTACATCATCACACTTTGCAGATGAAAGCTTAATGTTTTCTTTTGTATTATTATTATTTCTGAAATACTGAGATTCATTTTTACTACTACTTTCTGCAACTTGAATTCTGTCAATAATTTTATTTTTAGAAACTGGATTTTTACTTTCCATTGATGAAACAGAATTTTGTTTCTTAGTATGCAGTGTAATACTTTTAACACTGGGATTTGATTCATTCTGACTTCTTGGTGTAGATAAAACTTTACCATCCAAATGTTTTTTGTTCACTGAATCCTGTTTCAATAAGTGTAAAATTCTTTTACCTAAAGAGATATTTGAGTTTACTGTTTGATTACTTTCTGTTGTATGTCTTGATGATGAATCTGTATTTATTTGATTATAATTAGGACATTCTTGAACGACATTTTTCATTGTTGTTTCACTTTTTGCTGCTATATCAATTTTAACATTCAACTTCTTTATATCGCAATGCTCTGTAACACACTGCCGATTTTCATCCGAATTAAAACTTTCTTCCGAAACAGCTACAATTGTTTTATTTCCCATCTCCGAACACAGTACACTGCCATGTGAAATGTCAAAATTGTCTTTTAAAGTTTCTGAATCTTGCAAAGATAATCCATCACATATTGAATTACACGGCGGTTTATTTTTCTTTTCTCTATTAATTAAAAACTCATTTTTGAATTCCTCTAACTCCCTTATCCTTAAGTTTTTCTTTCTATAATAACTTTCAAAACTTTCATATTCAGGCATTTCCTTTTGTTTTAAATTTGAAGAAATTTCTTTGTCTAAAATTTCTGGTTTTGTCTTTGGGACTATACGAGCATAATTATTACAAATCAATTCTTCGTTTAAACTGACGTATTCGTCTTGTAAAATAACCATCAGAGTACCAATTAACGTTCCTTCAAAATCTGCTTCTTCTACTTTGATTCTAGCGCACTTATTTTGTTCTAGAATCGATTTCACAAATTCCAAAGACGAAATATCCCAATCTTCTGAAAGATCGGTGCTTATCGAACAATCAGCTTGCATCATTAAAGTACAGGGATGTAAATCTTTCAGCTGAAATTTCACTGCTTGAAAAGGAAGTGTCTTCATTTCGGGTTTTAAGTTTCGAATACAACTTTTCTCCACTTTTACGGTTCGCCCGTAATCTACTAAATATATTGTAAACCTTGGACCCGTAGTGGTTTCTAAAATAGATTCCACTTTTCCTCTGCACCAATTTCCATCGAAATTAACACAAACCAATGTATTCTTGCATGGCAATTTGATAATTTCTTCTTCGTACGTATGGTAGTAAGCATTCATCCGTTGTTCAAGACGAATAAAATTCCTACATTCGTCGGTTGAATGTACACTTGGAGCTTCTCTAACCACATACAAAACTGGGCTGCATACATCAAGAACGGTAACGCTTACGTAAGGTCGATCTTTAAATGCTTCTAAAAAATTATAATTTGCCATTTTCTTTTTTAAAAAATGGAATAGAAAGACGTTACAGCACTATAACAACACACGAACTAACTAACCTTTCGAATAACAAAATTTCAAGATAATTCTAGCTTTCACCACCAGGTGTCTGATGTTTTTACATTTGAAATAAAATAATAAAATAAATTATAAAACTGAAGAAAACTAAAATATATTTTATGGAATGAATTGCGTTTGTAATAAAATTAAATAATAATTTAAAAATAATATTATGCGTGATTTCTTAAATTACCGTAATCAAAAACGTAATCGAGGATATCAAAATTGTTTTAGATTTACAGATCAAGGGATATATTAATTAAAAGTAAATAACCGTAAAAGAAATCGTACTACTGCCAATTTCATTTTACTACTGTACAGGTTTTTTTTTTACTCTTTCCGCCCTGTGGGCACTAAGAGGGGATCTTAAAGCAGGCCCATTATGGGTTCGGCCAGGCCCATAATGGGGCGACGGGTAGGGAGGGACGGGGATCCGTCCGAAAAATTCCTGGGGATTCTTTGACCCGACCGGATTTGATCCAGGATACCTCAGAGCGGCAGGCTGTCACCGTGACTGCTCGGTCATCCGGCCGCCATACTGTGCATGTTAAAGACCATTATTGGTAGACGGCGGTTAAGCTTTAATTTTATTCCGATCCTAGTCCTAACAAGTAAAAACATGAATTTACCCGAGTTTACTNCAGGATACCTCAGAGCGGCAGGCTGTCACCGTGACTGCTCGGTCATCCGGCCGCCATACTGTGCATGTTAAAGACCATTATTGGTAGACGGCGGTTAAGCTTTAATTTTATTCCGATCCTAGTCCTAACAAGTAAAAACATGAATTTACCCGAGTTTACTATTTATAGGATGACGAGCGTTTGAATTTGTTAAATCTCGTTTGCTCTAGACATATGAAAGAAAATCTGCTGCAATTTTTAATCTTATTCTGTATTCGGCTGTATTCTACATTGTACGGCACAGTACATTACACAGTGGCATATGATAGTACAGTACACCAGAAAAATCCTCAACAAATAAAATTACAAAGACAGGTGTCTTTATAATTTCATTTATTGAGAACTTTTCTGCTATTAAGTTGATATTAAGTTAGAGAATTATTGTTAACAAAGTACACACTTCAGATTAATAATCTCTGTTTTATAGCATTTTATTTCGTGCTTTTGTATCGATACAAGTTCGCAAATTTTTAAAATTACTTTTACTTCTTTTATTTTTATATTTTTCTTTCGTTATGAATCGCGCACATTTTCTTCTGTTTTGCCTTTCGGTTTAATTGTTAGAAATATTGCTTTCAACTTTAATTATGAATTAGTCCAAAAATAAAATGTGCAGATATAATATTTAAACTGATGCACGTAGTCAATTAATATAAAGTTTAAAAGTTTTATTA